TCATTAGACGACTAGCTTGTCATTGAGTTCTCCCTGGTTAATGCTACTGCTAGCATTCGAAAGCCATGACCAGGTTTCATATTTTCATGCTGAACTTGAGAATTTTAATTCTCAATTCGCATGATGTATATATTTAGCTTTAAGAGGGTTAGGCCTACCCTAAAATTACGGAACGCTCGACCTCGACACGTGATATCGATATGGGCGAAATCGCCTCTTGATATCACTAACTATCCTGAAAACCACGGGAGAGACACCGCAAGGGATATGTGCGACAGCTACTTCCGCTCGCCGATTAGGACGAGTCGAACGCGGTGTGCATGCACTACTTCCCCCGCGGGAAATTTCAGGATGATCCGGCTCCAATGGCAAATTTAGGTCAAGCAAAGACGCACCCTGTAGTACTCTAATTTGGTCTCCTCTGATTGGCCCCGCTCAAGGCCCACGGACGTCTCTACCTCCTTCCCGCCACCGCTTCTTTGGTCACCGTTCACTCCCATCTTTCCAGTACCCCTTTTTCAGTCGATTAATTAACAGTCCCTTCGATGCCGACTTAACGTCTTCTTTCCATGACAATCTGCGACCTCGTATCGGTATCATTCTGGTGTTCGTGCATGTACGCTTTTGTATCTCCGACTAGATATTCAGGCCCAAGATGCCGAGATGCTTCAGGCTGAGATAAGCTCATTTGTACGAGTTAAAGGGGCCTTTAACCTTTTGACTGCTGGGTTTTTATGGGCCTGTAATACCCCCTGTGCTGGGTTTTCCCCCCAAAAATGCAAATGTCAGTTGTTCTTGATATTTACTTAAATGTGGAGCCATAATGTGATAAATGGACACCATATATGTATGTAAGTTGTTAAATACCTGACCTTTAAAATGGTATTTAAAATTTAAATCCCCTGCTGGGCCATCGGGACTGACACCATATGGCGTCAGTAGCAGTCAAAAGGTTAAGCTAAAGTGCTCTTTTCCTCCCTTAGGACTTAACGGTCCTTTTAAAACACCATTAAGTAAATGAGGTTTCAGCATTCGGGCCTAATGCTTTTTTTCTATATGCTCTGGGGGGTGTAGATAACCTGTTGCTTGCCCACCTGATACAGTCTGAGGAATCTGGTTTTGGCACAAATGGAAATGCTGTGCCAAGTTTCAATCAGGAATGGTCTCTCCACTGTCGAGTCCTCCTCGAGCCCCGCAGGGAATGGCGTAATGATTATGGAGGGAAGAACCTCCTCCCTCATACGCATACGTACGCCAGGACATCCCACCTTCCCTGAGCAGTCCCTCGGCAGTGGGTCGCTGAGAGCCAAAGTGAGTGGACGCACTCACGGCACGCGTGAAGCCGTGTCGAGCCTTCACGCAGCTGCCGCACAGGAACGTGCGGACTATTAGAGGAACTGTGGTGACGGTGGTCCTCCACCGGACAACTGGGACGCACGAGGACGATCCTGAGGCTCCCTCATCAGCGTGAGGCTGTTATTTGCTACTAACCCCATTCACTTATCCCTGTTGTCTTCTTGTGCAATAAATTGTGCGTAGTGTCCGACTACGCACTTTTATATATATAAACCCGGAGTCCTGAGTAATTCAAAGGAGTCTTCATCTTGGAGTCAACGATAACTATTGGACGGACTTCCTGCTACCGATCACAGAGGTCTCTCTTACGAACCTCTCCGAACATCGCAACCTTCGCAGATAACATCTCCAGATGCTTTTCCGGATAACTCTCTGGAGATCCCAGCACTCCGGAAACCCCATTCTGTAGGGGGCCCCCCAAGGAAACCTACACAGGTTATTGGTATTGGTTATACTTGACTCTTGATGATTATATATTTACTGGATATGGGTAACAATACCTCACTGGCAACTTCCTTAATTCCATTTATGCAGACGGTAGCACTCGTGCTTTCTACTAGAGTAGGTGTAAATAGAGGAGTATCTTCTTGTTTGGGTACTCAGCTGTACTCCTTGGAGCCATTCCATCTTCATGGATCATGAGGAAAATTGGCATTTGCAAAGAAACACAAAATGTGTAAAATAGGATTGGCTCTAATAATAAGCCACTGGGCTCATAAGCCATTGCTGAGCAAATTAACAAGTGGACACAGAGGTTCAGTAAGATGACTCTTCTTCCTACTGGCTATAGATGACAGGATATCATGGATGAGGCAATAGGGAATGAGATTTAGGGAACTTCATCAATGAGGGATTCAAATGGGAATGAGATGGAAAGGCTTGAAACTCTGGGATACTGCTATCTTCCTTTCCCCTTCACCCAAACCACCCAAAATAAATACTATTAATGATTCATGCCTTTAAATTAAACTGAAGCATTACAGATTGTCAAGTTCCTTCCTATTGCAAATATCAATACTTAAACATTCAGGGGAATGTTTTTAGGAATAGTTACAGAAAATTTTATTGCTGTTTTCTGTGGATTCTTATGCGGTATTCCTTTCGGAATAGGAATGGATTATTCTACTAGCATATAATAACAAAACTTTATGGGAAACGCTTAAAAATCCACTGACAATCCAGCCAAAAAATTAAAAACATTTTGCAACTAAAGCTCCCCAATAAGGCTTCATTCACGCTAGAAAGTTTTGATGCATAGATGATGAAATAAGTAGCAAAAAAAAGATTTTTAAAGGAAAACTGTTTAAAAAAATCTCCCAGAGCAACTAAAATTTTATATGTAAAACTTTCAGACATCCTCACCATTAAGTTTTCTTTGTAAAGAAAAAAGAAAAGACTTGCAAAGAAAAATTGCATAGAAAAATTTCTGGTGTGGACAAGGCCTGAGTCTTCATAAGAGATAAGTTAGTACACAATGACAATTCATCATTGACTGAACAAGTGGCCTTGAATGCTTGCGACTGCCCTTGTGGTTTATTCAAATCCTGGAATCAGTCTCAGATACAAAACCTACAACATTCACAAGCCCCTTTGCATCATCCCATCACCCCAAAGGGGCAGCACCTTTAAACACTGTGATCCTAAGTGTCCTGGGGAAAACCCATGATTATTTCTTCATTGCTGTTTCCAAGTATGTCCTCATCTTCTTCATCAAACCAGGCAGGAGGCCAATGTGATCATCCACACATTTCACTGCGCATGACTCAAACTCGTTTCGATACTCCATCACCTGGAAGATGAATCCACTTACAGCCACGAGTCTCAAACATATGCAATATAATCCAAAAAGACATGAATGAAAGGTCTATGAATGGACTGTAAATGAATAAGAAGGAATCAAATGAATAAATTCAAATGCCTGAGTTCTCAAGTTCATGTTCATTTTCTATAATATTCTAGCATTTTTTTAAATATTGATATTAGCTCATTAAACCAATGATGATGTCATTGATACCAGCTTTTTAAACCAAGCTAGTTCATTGGAAGAAACCTATGCCTGACCAACCCCTGCTAGACTTGAACAAATTGTCAAATCAAGGGAGCCTTTATCACTATTTTACAAAATGAGGGTTCCAGAGGAAGATATCAAAGAGGAAAGGTTGTATATAAGAATTAAAGAAGCATCACATCTGAAAAACCACCAAAGCTTATTTATGACCATGAACAGCAACAATCATGGCATGACTTCTGAAGCAACTTTTCACATTTGTGACATATCTGATGTGTGCTGGGAAAGAACTCTGCAGATCATTGTGAAGTGGTGTTTACGGATGTAGTTATTACATTACACTTGTAAATTCCCTTTTCACTTTTGCAATTCAAAAATGTATATTTATAGAGCAAATAGTAAAAACAAAAGATACCTCATCAAATCAAAGTTATGTCCTATCCTTTGGAGTTGGTTTTGACAAAACTTTTATGGAAATAAAATAGCTCAAACTGCCCTCCAATGATGTCAATTCAATTAGCTCTACTTTGAACAGGACACTTGCAAGTTCTCTCCAGCATGCCCATGGGAATGGTTAATTTTTAGAACTATTTTAAGAATGCATTTAAAATAAGTCTTATTTTGCCATTAGTCAATGGTGCTACTCCAAGGAAAATTTTAAATAACCATCAATACCAAATGATCTTGTCTAAAACATTTGTGAAAGCATTTTTCTTTGAAATGGAAAAGTGAATTATGGGACCTATAGATGAAACTTTGAACTGTGCAAATGATATATAGGAGCTACTAACCATCAGAAATGAGCATTTTCTGGCTGATATCTGAGAGCTTAACTCATTGTACTATGGTTCACAGTTCCCATCTCAAACCTACAATAAATGGCCTATTTAATAAACATTCTAAGACATCATTATAAGAGGGTTTTTTTATGTAATTTGTTTTTCACTCTAATCTCAGGAATTTAGGCATATTAGGCAAGCAACAGTGCAATTGGCACACAATGAAACAATAGCATGAGCACCAGCTTTGTCCAATAAGTGATTTTATGAGTATGTGTCTGGGTCTAAGTGGATAAGTTAATGGTGATGGAAGCTTTTGGCATACCTGAGCTTCTGTGGTTTCAGGTAAGACTCTGTCCTTTATTCCATCTTGACATGTTATCACACACCTCTGCAAACGATCCTGATGGGGAGAATTAAGAATCAATATAGATGCACATAACATTCCACTGTATGTCTACCCCATCTAAAGTATATGCATGTCTTGGGTTTACCTGAAAATGTTGCATTTCAGACTGAACGTAATTCTGAGCACCTGTCAGAGGTCTTGCACATTGTTCAATGCATGCATGCACCTCTTCCAAATTTGCCTCTGTGTTGGTGCAGCACTTGGCAGCACAAATATGCATATTGCCCTGAGAAGGAAGAGTCAGACCAACAGCTTCAATGTAGAGTCCAGCTTCTTATCATGCATTTAGAAGGACAGAGAAAATGTAGTTGTCTTTTTTTTTACCTGCATTTTTCTGAGTATGGACTTGTCTAAGTCGTTGATCATTTTCGTGACTGCATCTTGCACACGTGCTTGAGCTGCTTCTGCCATTCTTGTATCAGGCGTTCTAAACCTCAACAACAATTAAATGTCTTAGCAGCGTGTCCTAAACAACAGCCTCAGCAATATTCCCACTGAACTAATTCACCTACAATGGAAGCTATTATTATTATGAATGGGATAAATTATACAATTGGTAGCAGAGTCAGTCATGAAAGAGAGACACCACCCCAGCCTAGAGGTAGAGGAAACCCCAACTTATTTTGTTTGATTCAATTTCAGTTCAAGGAGTCTGCAAACCTTTCCAACTGCCAGGTTCAGTTTCAAGTAGGGCTGTCACGATAGATGGATGCATCGATACCACTATCGATGGTTGGAGGTATCAATTGTTTTTTCAACCATCACGATGCATCGGCAAATGATTTTAAAGGGAAATTGTCCAATCGGATCGAGGCGAGTACAATACAATACACTCTGTCCAGGCAGGGAAAGGAGGTGACAGTGTGACTCACACGGGTCTGTAATTTCTGTCACGATCAAATTCTGGAAATGCTCTTATTGACTGTAAGAAAGAAGGGAAGGGTAAAAAAAAAAGCATGTTGGATTGAAGACAGGAAGTGGGAAAGGAGAGGGAGGAAAGACCGAGAATATTCTTTATCATCAGTTTCAGTTTTCGGCTCCATCTCATCAGGCACTTGCTCCAAATTGAACTGTTCTTATACTCATGTGATTTTGAAACGTAAATTGATTAATCCCCCTCTATATGTCTGTCTTTCTTTTTTGTGTGCAGGCTTATGTTTCTTAATTTTTAACTTGCCCTGGGGCATTTTACCTCTTCACCTGAACCCAAACTCAAAGTGAATTTCCTACATGGAAGTTGCTTATTCTGGGGCTGTACCGATGTTTTGACAACCGCCGGTATGGCACCATAGGCAGATTTGCTATCTACTGGTGCCAATTTCCAAAGAAGACCGTATAGAAAGAAGAAAAAGAGAGAAAAAAAATTATGTGAACGGGCTGATTCTCAACAGCAATAAGAGAAAATTAGGGCTGTCCTGGTGCATCCATCGATGAATGGAGGTCATCTTAGATAGTTGGAGGCATGGTAGGTTTTATTACTCCCTGTGAAGGTCACACTTTCCCCCCGAACACCCCGATCACAAGCGTGAGATTATGGAAGATGGATAGAGGTCTGCGCTCTGATCAAGGCAAGACATGATGGAAGACAAACCTCCGCGCAATCGTGGCGAGAAAATATTGAATCCTCCCCCCCCCCCCCCCCCCATCCGAAGCATTGATACACTATTGATAGTTCAGGTCGATGCATCGATGTTTCGAAAACTGCTATTGTGACAGCCCTAGTTTCAAGCAATGACAGACCTTTAAGAATACAAGGTCATATAGCTCGAATTACTGATGAGGCTTGACCGATTAAGCCATATACATCAATGGATGAAGAGTGATTAACCTCAGAGGCTAACCATTCTTAGGTTAAAAAAAAAAATATTTTAAGATGGAATGGCACTGTGCTAAAGAAAAAAAGGAAAACTTTGTTGGCATGCCAGTCCAGATAATAACTTAGGAACAAATGAAACACAAGTGCCCTATATGAACTCTGGCAAAGTCCTTCAATTTGAGAGGATTCTGGATTTGGATCTGGACTCAAAATTAGAAATATGATGATTCTAGAGCTCCTGACAGGAAAGGGTTCAGTGAAGTGAGGAAGCAAATCTCTCTTTGCATACCAGGTGCCAAACTGACACATTATGGCAGTGAATAGAATTTCATATAACACTGTAGACAAATTCATCAGTTAGGCATTGAGTATCAGATGTATCCATATATATGGCATCCTAATATCCGAACAAAGCAACAAATGAACATGACTCAGACTATATAAATAAAAGCAGAGTATGTCTGCAGATGGAAAAAAAGTTTGGGAAATCATGAGAGAGGAGTAAATACCACCAAGTAAGCAGTGAGACTGCTACTTCTCCCAGGCTCAATGGATTTTATTTGATGAAATGGAAAAATGGAATTCTATTTCATCATGCTGACAGAAGAGAAATCTGAAAACCATGTAGTACCAGTTGTGAAGATGTGATGCATAATTTTTTCTTTTTAAAGAGGCAGCTGAGATTAAATTTAAACTACAGGAAAATCTCTTGGATAAGCCAGCAAGAATTGCAAAGTGCAGAGGAACAGGAAGTCAGCTGTTCTGGTCTCCGGAAGATGGTGCAACAGTGTTCACACCTTGGCCTAAGGGGTTTTCTAGGCCCTTTTACTGGTGGCACTGTAAAAGTATATGTATCACCAAGAAATAGTCAAGAAACAATATGCCATTTTCCAATCCTTAAAAAAACCAATAAATTTGTACAATGGGACTCCTGCATCATAAGCAGCATTGCATCATAATGCTTGCAGATGCTTGCAACAATACAATTGACCTTCACTTGCCTCTCTTGTCCAAACCACCTCACCTTCCCTCTACTTACTTTGCAACACATACAATCCAAATAAGAAACAAGATGCCTTAAACATGAAACATGATAAACTTCTTGATTTCCAGTACAATGCTTTATAAAATTTGAAAGCTTTCCACTCCAGCATCTTCATCTTTCAACAGACTTTCACCGTTATGAATGATTCCCCAACACTATTCAAAGAGACAGGTAGCTCTAGGGTTTTCAGACACTTAAAGTCTTTTAAAATAAGGTCTCTTCTGCTCTCAGCTGTTTCTCAGCTGTATAGACAAAGCTGAAACTCAATTTCCAAGTCATTTTACCTTTGTTCATCTACAAAATAAAGAATATAATAACGAAAATATTTTTTATTAAACAACATTGGGGCATCACCTCATCAATAAGATCAATAACAAAGTCACAGCAATAAGAGAATTCGATGTTAAAAACAGATTTTCCATCTAACCTCTTGAGTCATGGTTTTCCCCCAAATAAAGTAGTGAGCTTTGTTAGATTCAGGCTTATTTAATACTTTTTTCAGTTGGAAAAATTCCTCTTGGAAACTTCAACAAATTATTTAAATTTATATGCAAATGCATATAAATTTACAATCTAACTCTTTCCAGGTGGGATTTTTAGATACTTTAAAGTTAGATTAACCCTTTAAATCCCATGCCCAAGTATACTCGTGATAGCTTGTGATAGGCTGCAAAACCTTCAGTCAAATTCTGGCTCCAGTACACTCATGCACACAGCTTAGGAAACTCAGGAAGGAAAAGGTTAACAGCTGTTCTTAGCAAAAATTTTTTCCTGAGATAAACTGACACTGAAATACTTCCCTCATATTTCAATGAGATTTGCAATGTCATTTGTGAGTGACTTGAAATCTAAACCTAAATCTCACCAAACTAAGTCTTCATACCCACCATAAATTATTGGTTTGAAAATGCAGTTGGACATTAAGATGACATGAGGATTGATTGTGCAAGTGGCCTGAACACTCTCAAATACACAGCAAGAAACCTCCATCCAAAATTGCAGCTTTAGCTTATTGGCTGTCCACACTTACATATGATGATCATTACATTGTGAATCCACACTATGATAATCAAATTTGTCAATGAATTCAAAGACTATAGGAGTCACCAAAAGATAGAATTGAGATTCCAAGATTGGCATATGACATTAGAGCAGGGGTGTCAAACATATGGCCTGCGGGCTGGATCCTTACCTTGCGTTTTAGAAATTTCTGCTTTGATAGACTGTCACCACAAATTTCAGTGGAAAATTATGGGTGCGGCCCGCAGGCATCTGCATGGTGGGGAATGTGGCCCTCCAACCAATTTGAGTTTGACACCCCTGCATTAGAGGAATCCACTACAATTGATTGTGGTAAATATGAATTCTTTCAGGCAAGACTACTCAGGTAGTACTGCTATTTTCTAATTATTACCAGTTCTGTTCATAACATAGTAAGTTTAGCCATCAGTGACCATCAATACTTGAATTTTATTGTAATAGATGCATCTCTCACATTCTTCCATCTATGATCATGGTGCACGGGAAGATATGACAGACAAATGGTTAGCAACATTAGCAGACACATAGTTATTCTGTGAAAACGTTTACAAATGATTACAGCACTTTAAAGGATAAAAGGAGCTAAGGGCTCTTGCAACCCTCTTCCTGATCTATCCTGTGGAAGACAGCATCTTCCATATCTTTCAATTCATTATCCTATGTTTACTTAATTCCTCTTTGATCATCCTTTGATTATTATTTGATTGTGGCCACATTTCCCAGGCCTAATCATAAAGGCTTCAAAATGGTGTCCTCGTTGATATGATCTATGACTTGCCAATAAAGATTCAAGGTCTTCTTGCATTATATCCATTGTTCCAAAATCCAGATGAAGACATTTTTGATTCCTCATTCAAAATTTGAAGAATAATAGTGAAGAACTTCGGACACCAGAGCCTAGCTGTGCTGGAAAAGCATCATCAACAATTTTCTGGACAACTGACCAATGCAACAGGGTGACCCTGTTCATGGTTGTGAGAGACAGACCCAATGGCTCATAAGGAAGTAAAGAAAAGCCAAATGTTCTGCTATACACTTATTTCTACTGTCCATCTCCTTTGCATTGTATTATTCTGAATTACTCTAATGCTCTATTTTAAGAATATTATATTCTGTTAACCCATGGCAGTACAAAGATGGAAATACTTGTTGCCTCACAATATGGAACATGCGTTTTTGTTCTTTATTTCCTAAGTGCACTTACGAATCAATACTTGTGATTACTCAGTAAATCTTGATAGTTTACTGTTCACTTACCGAGCAAATTCATTAGATGTCAGCACCATGTATGCAAGCAAAAATGTTAATTTTTGCTGATTTAACCACTGGTACACCATGAAAATTAGCACTGCAATGGGTGAAACTTATGTTTATTATTTATGGTTTATTAATCAATGTTTTATGCTTGTCTATGTTTAAACAGACTTAGATATACTCACTCAGGTCATATTGAAGTGATAGGTCTGTTGACTAGTACATTTTTCCTTTCAACTCAACATGAACGTATTT